GTGCGCACTGCAGCATGATACATGTACATGTGACTGCTGTGATCTATACACAAGTATGTGCGCACTGCAACATGATACATGTACATGTTACTGCTGCTGGCTATACACAAATACAAGTCACCATACCATACAAATAAATTATTTATTAATTATCACGTTATACCTTCACTGCCTGTTAGGTGATGCTCGTTGCCATCGTAGGCCTCCTGGCAGCAGATCTCCTTGAAGAAATGTACGCAGTCGGGGTTGACCATAGCGTCGCAGCATTGCCGGCCATCCATGCAACGTCCACTCTGGCAGGTGATAAACTTTCTAACACCACACGGATCCTCACCTACAATAAATGTTCCGTTTCGTTTAAACGTGCCCGCTCGTTTTTTTCAATTCCCTTATTTTTATTTTTTCCCGTAATTTATTTTCCCGTAATTTAATTTCCGTAATTGTTTTTTTCGGCGGCGGCAAACCTTACCGCATTTTTCGACGGCCTCATCTGATCCATCTCTGCAGTCAGAGACGTTGTCACATGTGTAACGCTTGAAGATGCACTCTCCTGACCCGCACATGAATTGAGTGCGCGCACACCTGCCTCCCTCTGTAATACACGTTATCATTATTATTATTTCCAAAGTGGATCACGGCATTAGCCGGTGGCTTCTGGGTTGACCGTGTCCCAACCTAGGACATAGGGATTCAATCCAGAATTTTTCGTAGGATGTGTGCTGTTCCCAGTAGTGCAATTTTCTATTATTATTATTATTATTGTTGTTGTTGCCGTCGTCGTCGTCGTCATCGTCGTCGTCGTCGGCATCATCATCATCATCATCATCATCATCATAATCCTCATCATCATCATCATCATTATTGTTATTATTATTAAATATTTATTGCACGTAATTCAAATACAAGTACATGTACTGAAAACATTCTTTTTTATGAACAAGAAATCATTGGATGTTTGTCGTTTATGCATCTGTATGTGCCAGGGGTTGCTCTTACTAAACTTTTATGCCTCTGTATGTGCCAGGGGTTGCTCTTACTAAACCTTTATGCGTCTGTAAGCGGCAGGGGTTGCTCTTACTAAACCTTTATGCGTCTGTAAGCGGCAGGGGTTGCACTTACTAAACTTTTATGCATCTGTATGTGCCAGTAGTTGCGCTTACTAAACTTTTATGCATCTGTACATGCCAGGGGTTGCATTAAGCGGTTAGATTAGCCCCTGGCAACACGCATGCAACATAGATGTTGATGATACCAGTTTTGATAGTATTTGTGGATGAATACAGAAAATTTTGTTGTTGTGGTCTTCACAATGGAACAGCCCATGCATTTTCTGATTAAACTGCGGATATATGAGATTCACAGGCCTGAAGGTCTACTCATAATGCCTCGATATACCACGAAGTAGAGCGCCACACTTTTATTATCTCACGTATCATATGAGCTATATTCGAATATTTGTGCGCACAAATACTAACATACCTTACGCACGTGCGTCGTGAGTTTATGGAACCCATCGCTGTATTAGATCGAGTAGACATTAGCCCAAAGTGACGTTGCGCACTTTCTAACGAACCGAGAGTCATGTGTCTCTCTTGTTGTTGTTGAGGTCTCTTCTGGTGGTAGCCATTTTCTAATTTAGGAATGCCGATTGCGTAGACCATTATACAGTGTCCGTGATCCATTAGGTTGATGCGAACGAGCACTGATCACGTACGTGTTCTGACTGATCCCAGGGTGTGAAACCGGAGTCAAATACTCCCTGATTTACTGTAGGACTCCCTGATTTGACATATGCAGGAGTCCGTGTGACGCCCTGAAAATTCTGCTATACTAACTAGTTCGTTCCAGAGCATGGCCTCGCGGAATTACCGTATTTTTTCAGTAAAAGTCCAAAGAAAATATATGGCAGACGTGCAACCGCATGAATCTTCCAAATAAGCACGTGCGTTATTGTTAATATCTTTAATTTTGAACTTCAGACTGCGGACTTCCTCATTTTGCTGCGGATTCCCTCTTTTTGAGGGCAGGGAGTCCGTTGGACTCCCTTGTTCAAACATTAATTTCTACCCCTGCGATCCTGTTGCAGCTGTTGTCAGGTGGTAGCCAGCCTTCTGTGATGCACTGGGACCTCAATGGCGCTCAGACAGCAAAGGTTCCAGTGTCGCCTCCCTGCGTGTACGACATACAGATCAATGCTGCGTCGGACCAGAACCAGGTGAATATCGCGACCCTAGATCACCGCTAAGGCTAGCAGCACACTTCACCATTTTCGTTGCTCGTACAGGCAATTTTCGTGGTCGGTGTCGCGTCACAGCACACTTCACCACAAGTTGCCACCACGAGCAATTTTCGTGGTGAGAAATCAAACCGGTTTGATTCTCGGCAACTCGTGGTCAATACTAAATTTCCGTGGTGAGTGGTCGTTGCCGGCCCCCGCACACTTGGCCATTTTTGTGGCGGCCACGAAAATTGCCTGTACGAGCAACGAAAATGGTGAAGTGTGCTGCTAGCTTAAGGTGTTAAAGACTGTCTGGTCGTTCGCGCTTGTACTCTTTTTTCAAGTCGTAAATCTTTCTCGTTACTGAACCGTATCCGACACATAGCAAAGGGGGCCAGCAGTCGATATGCCCTACTACACTCCGCAGCATGTATTGTAGTGCCTTCCACGCAGCAAGACGGACAGGCACGAGTTTATATGGGAACTATCATACATCTTCTCATCACTTGCGATCGGTTACACTAGAAACACACGCCGCGGTCCGCGTGCGTGTTTGATCGTGTTAATTCGTGTTGCTTCGTCTGCCGCAGGTGATGGTCGTAGCAGGCAGCAGCTACAAGATTGACGTCTGCACCAACTACCACTACAAGGCATTCTCTCTCACGTTCTGAGCTCAGCTCGTCGATGTAACGATCACAGCACTTGCCGTGCGGTGAATTGCTCCAAGTTTTCTCATCGCCATCGTGTAGCAATTACATTTGTAGACTATACTTCAGATTCGTTTGATTCCCCACTAGAGGGCATGAAATGTTATCGTTACCGGAGCGCACTTACTGTATAAAATTGCCAGACTGCTGTTGGGTCGTGGCACATTAAATTTGTCCCGATGCACATTAAGCTGTGTGGTCATAATTTTCTACGTATAATAAGTTTTGTAGTGATAAATTGTCTACAATGTCTGTATTGTAAAGATCAGTATATAAACTAGGTCAACCTTTCTTGTATACAACATTAACATTGATGATTTTTTTTATTTATTTTACAAATATATCATACGTCAACAGCTGCACTACGAATTTACAGAGAACTACAGATGCACAACATGCACCTAAAATGTGTGCTTGGTTATAGGAGTAAAATTAAACTCGAATACATTTTTACGAGACGTTTACTTCACAACCGCAGATAAAATTCTCCATATGAAGTTCTTCATTTTGTACTAAAGCCATCGTACATATTACAACAGTTAGCAGCAGAACATGTATCACATAAATGATATACCTGTAGCTACACAACAACGTTTCTTTCTTTTACGCTATAGACACGTTAGCCAATTGAGACTTATGCAATAAACATAATGCAACAGACGAAGCTATTTACAGTTTTACACGCGACACATTTTGATTTCGACAGTAAATATAATACAGGAGTCGTCGCAAAATCCAACTAGGCTGGAATTTACGCCTACAATCTCCACGTTCCAGCTTCGTATTTTCTCTGGGAATGATGCTAGCGGTCTATGTACAGATTACGGTGACAGTCGAACCTTCCCTTTGCTGCTGCCAGGTCATTTGGCAGGTAAATATTTACCTAGCCAAAGCTGCCCAAATGCTCTGTTAATGAAAACGACGTGTAAATTTAGTTTTTTTTTTGTAGTAGAGGAAACCGAAGCTGCACCTCACCACCTGCCTGTTGACATGCGCACCAAAGCTCAGAAGGCTTTCGATCAGAGGCTAGAGAAGAAGTCAGCAGAGAGGGCGCTGAGCAAGGCGTCGAAAACGCACAAGCAGAGGGTGGAAGAGTTCAACAGACATCTCGACACGCTCACCGAACATTTCGACATTCCGAAAGTCAGCTGGACGAAGTAGACCGATGCGCTGCGGAGGATTCTTTTTCTTGTTTCGTTAAAAAACAATCTTGGTTGCACCGCTGTGATCGTTTCGAGCCGGTGGGCATCACAACATCCTTCTGATATATCACCAGGTTATATTTCACCACTTCGTTTATGCCCGACGTGGTCACTCGCGAATTTTAAAGGGTGAATGACGTCAGGAGTGTAAGAACAGTGCTTCGTTTCCTACGCTCCGTACTCTTCAGTGGTTGAATCTTGGACAGCACTATATTCACGAACGATCTGTGACACGTACCTGTATTCTCGAGCGAGATCCCACGACACTCCCACGTACCTACTCCTCCCCGCACAAGAAACCCGAGTAAACGCACGAGGGACGCGTCTAATCCGCTCGCGATGCGCCACCTGGTGGTGACCCTTCGCGGGTCGGGCGAGATCCGAAGATTCAGCCCGTACTCCGCCGCCGCTCGTCATCTCTGTGTCGCCGCGCCGCCGCCATCCGTCGTCCCCGAACACGAACCGGCCGACGAATCGGACGTCGATCATCTGCGACGCGTCGTCGCCTCGTCGCGCCGCCTTCTCGTGTTGACCGGCGCCGGCATCTCGACGGAGAGCGGAATCCCAGACTACCGGTCGGCCGGCGTCGGTCTATACGCGCGCAGCCAGCACCGGCCGATCATGCACCGGGAGTTCGTCGAGGACGCGTGGAAGCGCGCGCGCTACTGGGCGCGGAACTACGTCGCGTGGCCGCGCTTCTCCGCGGCGACCCCCAACGCGAACCACACGACGCTCGTGGCGTGGGAGCGCGGACGCCGGCGCCACCTGCATTGGCTCGTCACGCAGAACGTGGACGCGCTGCACGCGGCGGCCGGCCACCGCGGCGTCACGGAGCTGCACGGATGCACGCACAGCGTCGTGTGTCTCGCGTGCGGTGACGTCACGCGCCGGCACGCCCTGCAGACGCGCATCGCAGCGATGAACCCTAACTGGAGCGCCACCACAGATGACATCGGTAAGTAACTATTCGCAGACTGTACATGCTAGGAGTTGCTCTAACTAAACTTTTGCTTACTGTGCTAGACTGCGATCTATATCACAATGATTAGACCATACTTACTGGGCTTGACTACGATGATGGTCTTGTTGTTAACGACGTAGCCGTCCTGGCGACTCTCTGCTTTACAAATGTAAACTCCACTGTAAAGGACCTGCATGTGGGAGATGAAGAGCCCTAGACGATTGGTAGTGTTCCGTGTCCAGTACATGCCTGTCAACATTAAAAAACACTATGATAAGCATCAGTGATCATGACCAATAGAATAACCAGGATGTGATTTACACAAAACTTCACCGGTATAGGCAATTTATTACATTGTTTTCGTGCAGTTGTAACTACATCGTGCATTTTCGTATTTCTATTTCTTGCATATTTCCATTTCGTGCAATTTATCTACATTTTTAATTCATACCCTTATCTGGCTGTGTGGGAAGGTGCCAGCTGAGATCTATCTGGACATCACGATGTGCCGTATTATCGAGGAAACTCGCACAACAGGTGAGATTGAGGTTATCCCCCTCAGTGAGCACAATAGCGGCACCTGGTGGGGTTATTTCTAAACGTAGTCTCCTATCTCGAGAAACTGCAGACCCAAATGTTCCTGAAAATGTTGTTACATTACAATGAGATAACGATGGTTAATCCAGTTCTTAGCAAACATACGAGTACTAATTGCAGTCTATCATAGTTCTAAATGATAAGCGGTTTGTTTAGTGGCGTGTTTGGTATTCTGTGCAGAACAGTAATTTACTTTCTATTTCTAATTCAGTAATTGTAGGGGCCTAGTACGCACAGCAATATGCTATGTTCGATCAACCTATTCACTTAGAAGTTAAAGTGCGTCTCAAAGTTTGTAACTTAAATTATTGCGAACCTATATATGCTACCAGATTGAGGACAAAAAAAGATTACCTGTGCCTCCGAAAGGCGAGATTATCAACAAATTCATAAACAAACACCAATTTGTTATTGTGGAAGGTGCCATTTTTATTGCAGAATCTCATCACGAGAGGGCGCGAACCTCGATGCAATTATTTATAGAATTCGGACATTTGATTGGTCCACCTCAGCATACGCTGGCAGTGTTGTCGACGACGATATGGAGGCGATGAAGAGAGTTTTCGTTGTTTTACCTGTGATTTTATCTTACCTGTGCACAATTAGTGCACTCCACACAAGAGGAGCTGTTCCTCTTGATTCTTTTACTTTCGATAAGGTATGGGCATCAGTGTTTTTGTCCTATTCATTTTAGTTCGCTATAGAATTAGAAGTTTTACCTTCCCGGTTTTGCTTATGCCTACAGCCATACCAAGAGTAGATAATAACACACTCTTGGTCATACTCATAGGCATCACTAAGAGTAAGTCTACAATTAGCTAAGGAAGGTAGTAAGCCTTGGTACATGCAGACAGAAGCTCCCAGAAAATCGTGTATAGTCAGTGGAGCCTGGACTGAGGACAGAGGCGGGCTGCCAACGAAAGGCTACAGTCTGTGCAGGGTCCTTCCTCCTGGGATGGATATCCCACCTAAATAGTCTGTGAAGAAAAGATGAATAATATTGATCCATTCAGTGCCACAGTCCACTGCAGATAGCGGTCCCGTGGTATTATGTTGATTGTGTTCATTCCGCGTGACTCGATCATTTGGTTCGATAACCGGAAAAGTTTTCTGAAGACATGATGATTGTTTGATTTGTATAGGTGATTACAAGGTTTCCTTATACCTTTGTGAGGTTTGACACTACTTATCCGCACGGCGATGAACACGAGGAATTTAAAAAAGTCGTCGAACAGGCGAAGTCGAACGAGGGACTTCTCGTCGCAGAAGTTGGAATTGCAGGTTAGTTAGTTAGTTACGGATAATGGGTTGTGATAGGCCTAGCCTAATATCCACCCATATCTTGCGATTTCATGAATCGGTCGATTACATCGGGTTAGTGTGAATAAATAGAATAAACTTCTTATTTGTCATTATTAGTGCACTGAGTAATACTATAGCCATCGTTATTATATACGTTGTTAATGAGCGGGGTATTTCAAAGGTAATTTGTATAGTATGTGAATAGTATTGGTAATGTAGGTATATACTTGGTTTAGATTATGGCGAGAAGGAAAACTCGGACCTTGGAGATCGCTACAAAGTGAACCAAGACGATTTTCCTGTCTACATGCTATTTAACAAGGATGACCCTGATGCACCGATCCGACACAAAGGCCATTACAATGCTGACGCCTTGAAAAAGTTCATCAGGGAAAATACAGGTAAATATAAACAGACATATGCCATATATAAGCTTATACATGCCAATATAAGGAAATAAATAAATGTGAACAATTATACGCACGTACGTATATACCGTGTTACCCTGTTAGCCCAAGGCGAAATGTTTCTCGTCTCACATGCCAATATCAGATAGTGTTCAACATCATGTGTCACTGGTTCATTCTGTTCCTCATTTCATCTCCTGCAGGACTATTTCTTGGGCTACACGGATGCATGAAAGCTTACGACGACATCGCAATGGAATTCATGCCAGCCGACGCAAAACTCAGGGAGCAGTTGATCGAAAAGGCGGAAGCAAAGGGAGAAACCCTGGAAAATGCGGGAGACAAGAAATCGGCCGAAATCTACGTTAAATACATGAAGAAGATGGCGGACAAGTTTGGAGGCGATGCAGAGGATTTTGTCGCCAAGGAGACGAAAAGAGTCGAGCGGCTCAGGGACGACGATCATACAGCTGCGAAGAAGAAGGTGCAGCTCAACGCGCAGTCCAACATCCTGCACTCTTTCAGCTTCGCGGCTGCACAGAAGGATGAGTTGTGATTGGAGAGAAGGCAATAGATGGCGACATGTGACCCTGGCAGCATAAGCTTGGTGGCAGGGTTCTGCTACAAACAGACATGGGGGCGTCTAGTAGGTCTGTGAGGATATTGGCAGGTTAAGCGTACATCAGCGTTTAATGAGCTTGCATTCCGAAATTGTGGTTGTTGTTTTGTGAGCGCAGAGTAATGCGCTAATACACAGCAATTTCCGATTGGGTTTATTAAATGCCTCCTGTGTTTGTTCAGAATTAACATGTAACGCTTAGCAATTGCTATTAACTACTTACACCCTCACTGATTGGTTGTCGTAAAACGTATTTTAAATTGCAGTCACATGAGATTTGTTGTTTTTCGTGTGATGTCTTGTGCTGAATAAAATATGTGCCCATCCAGTTACTGTCAGCTAGTGAATATTGTCAAAGCAAAACGTTTGTGTTTAGCAATGGTGTCGTTGAATTGTTTAGATGTCAGAGTTGTTACATGTCGCTTAAAAGTTCAAGTTTGATGAATTTCACAGGTCAGTCTCACATTCCTAATTTATAAGACGTCTTTTTGTCAACTGTGCTTTTGTATAAGCATTTATACTTTTACAATCATGTATAACGTGATACCTGTATTAACTTGCTGTTGGTGCACATGGTAGTATGCAATATTTACACATATGTAGTACATGTATGTATGTGGAAACTTTTGGCAAAGTTGTGACCATCCAACACGTTTGTGTTTTTGGAGTCTATTTATATGATTGGCCATTTGTTAGTTCATTGTGTAGCTCTCTATTCGTATTTGAAATCAGAGTTGACAAAACTAGTTTATTGAACTTAAAATGTAATCCTGCTGTAGATCTCTGATTCAGAAATCTGTTGTGTATCCATGTGTTTATTCAGCTTATTTATTTTTAAGAATCCGACTGTTAAAGGTGATAGAATATTAATCCATATCAGATATCAGTTAACACTGCTACTGCTGTCCAGCATGGTTATTCCTTGGCCCTTACTTTTATTTCAAGACATACTGGAAGAAGCATAAAATAGCATCACGTGAAAAAAGGTTACAGTGAATAATATTTATATGGAAGTTCATTTAAATTGGTAATATTAATAAATATTCTTCTACCAACTTGTGTTACATTTTTTTTGATGTGTGGAAAGGGATTTCTTTGATCTAGTCGACAGTTCCGAACACTTCTCACTTTACTTGCAAATAACGATATCAGGAGTGTATCAAAACGGATATCAGGAGTGTATCAAAATTTTGATACACCTGACGATATTACATGGTAACGTTACAAATAGAATTGCGTGTATATCCGAAGCCCGGACGGATCCGGGCGGTCGGTATTGCCTGCTCGGTGTCCGGACGAATCAGCCGCTAATTTCAGCAGTACAAGGTCGCTGTGCAAAGTGCAAACTACAACAGAAAACAAGTTGTTTATCGTTCGAAAATTGATTTCGATTAGTCCTACACGGCAGGAGTGTATACATTGTAGGAATTTAAATGTAGGTATGTACATAGGTTTCTTGCTGAAAATGAATTTCACGCGTAAGCCCCGCAAATAACCGTCTAAACAAATAACTCTAGTCTGGCATTCATTGTCCCTAATTGCTGCGTAGTTCAAGTTGTACTACAGTACAAGTACAAGTTACAAAAAGTACAACAAGCCCGACCAGGGTCTACGACTGTTAGTACACGTAGACGGTCTATATGTTAAATCATACACTTGTATAAACCATGCGATCTAAAAAAAACAATCAAGTAATACTCCTTGAGTGGAATTGAATTCATCATAGCCTAGTACTAGTACTAGTAGTAGTAAGACGGCTGAGAGGGTCTATGTCCCCCGGGATACTGCCAGAACCGAGAACGTACCCTGGGTACGGTCCGGTATACCGGAACGTACCCTGGTACTATCTAATATGCCGAACCATACCTCGCCTACTCCACTAACGAGTCTAGGGAGTCGCCTACATCGCATTCGCGCGCACATCGCTTAAGAGCAGGGCGCTCCGCCGCGACCGCGTCTAGGAGTAGCTCGGTGGCGCCATCTGTGTGTCGTCGTCCGCGCCGCCCGCCCGATCCCCGGATCCCTCCCCCCGCGACACGGACTCTCGCCTCGCCGCCGCCGCCGCGTCGTCGCCGTCGTCTCGACTCTGCCCCCGCCGGGCCCCCTCCCTCTCCTCCTCAATCTCCGTTATCACGCTGAGGTTCGCTCGCCGGTCGATCGTCTGGTACGCCGGCGGCGGCGAATCGCGGCCGTCCGCCTCGACGCCGCTCTCCTGATTCGCTATCTGCTCGTAGGGCGGCGGCCGCAGCGGTTCGGCGTACGGTAGTATCTGCAGGCCGTTGTTGATGTTGTAGGTGACGAGCAGGTTGGTGGTGCCGGGGCACCGGTGTGGCTCCCGCGCGGGACGCAGGCTGCAAACACACGCGACACGTGAGCGGGTTACCGTATACATACGCCATATTTTTCGCGTACAGATATTTTCGCGAATTCAGACTTGACGGGCAATTTCGCGAGTGGTAAATTTCGCGGTCGGTGAATTGTGAATTGTGGATTATTCGGTATTATCCGGTATGAATTATTCGCGTGTTGTTATTTTCGCGGTCAGGAGACGCGTTAGCGAAATTCGCGAAAAAATTAAGCCACTGCGAAATATACAGCGTATACGGTTGTCCACATCCTATGATATCACTTCTACCGCAAGCAGCTTAATCGCACGTGCATCGAGCGCGTCGAAAATAGATGAATTAATCGAACAAATAATTAACAACAAACTTATAATTAACGATAACTAATAGAACGCCCTGACGGAATAAATGAGCAGCCCGAATCAGGAATCATCGAATCATGAAACGTGTTTCGCGTAATCATTCCGGAAACAAACATCACGTGGACGCGGTCAAAGTAATTGTGCCATACGTGTATCTTCGCAGGATGGAGGGAGAGCAGAATAATGAAGGTGTCCGTGCATGCGAGTGTGTGTATGCGAGTGCGTGTGTGCGTGAATGCGTGCATGCGTGCGAGTGCGTGCGTGCGTGTATGCGTGCATGCGTGCGAGTGCGTGTGTGCGTGTGTGTATGCGAGTGCGTGAGTGCGTGCGTGCGAGTGCGTGTATGCGAGTGCATGTGTGTGTGCGTGCATGCGAGTGCGTGCGTGCATGCTAGTGCGTGTGTGCTGCGTGCATGCAAGTGCGTGTGCTGCGTGCATGCAAGTGCATGTGTCCGTGCGTGCATGCGGAGCGTGTGGTACCCCAGAATGCCTACCTGTAAGGTCTCCAGCGAGACTGCCGACAACACCTCTGCCGCTGCACGTGTTGGCCTGCGTGCACAGCACAGTGAGGGCAACTGAAGATGTGTTGCCGCAGTCTACGTCGCATGTGGTACCTGCCGAGTGGAAACACATTATCACACAAGCCTCACGGTAGAAAATGAACACTGATTCCCACTAGGCTCATGGTAGGGAGAAAATATGAACACTGTACAGACTAGTCTCATTGTAGGGGTAGAAAATTAACACTGATTCACACTAGTCTCATGGTAGGGGTAGAAAATTAACACTGATTCACACTAGAGGTTTGGTGACGTCACATGTTTCTATCTTTGCTGCGCCCGTACCGCTGTACCGCGCCACCGCTGCACGGTTGCTTGGAGATTGGGGAAACTGTCAACAACATCGGAGAATTTCAACAACATTGGAGGTAGTTTCAAAATACCTTTTATAAGACAACGCGCAGTGAAATTGGAGGAGCTAGAGTTAATTTTGTCATAAGGTAGTGTGATTATTCATGCCACGAAGTATTTGCTAGTCTAGTACTGTAGAAATTAGCGTTTGGATGCACATTGTGAGCCTTTAATAAAAATAATACTAATAAATGAAAAATAAATAAAAATAATGAAATTACGTTATGGTACGTCGTTAGAAATACCGATTTCATTCTAAAACCGTGCCACTATCCCACTTCCATCTTCCCTCGCTCGTCACGACTTTTTCCCGGCGAAGCGGCCCTGACGAACGCTCACTTCGCAGGTGGTATTTTTCGGAGACAATGTTCCCAAGGCGACGGTGGATTTCGTTTACAATAAAGTGCGCGAGAGCGACGCATTGTTGGTTCTCGGATCCTCGCTGTACGTATACTCCGGATACCGTTTCGCCGTGCGCGCAAAGAAGGAGGGAAAGCCTGTCGCCATAGTGACGATCGGCGAAACACGGGCGGACGATCTCGCAGACGTTAAAATCAGCGCGCGCTGCAGTGACATCCTCGCTCGCCTCGACGCGTAGCCGCCGGCGCCCCCTTTAGGCGCTATTTTGAGTCTTTCTCCTGCTTCGTTTTTTATTTTCCTTTTTCTTGTCTATCTCTCTCCGTCTGGTCTCTTCTCTGGCATTTCTGTTCCATCGCGAGGTGGAGGCAAGGTTTGAGGTGGTTCCAGTGAGGCACTAGCACAGATGCGTTCTTAATTGGAGTGAGAAACTGCTAAATATTCATATTGCTATAGCATCGATATATCGATTTGTACAGAATTCGTGAAAATGTGGGTATGCTAGGTGATGGTGTTAGTGTGCATCTTGGCCAGTAGATGGCACTGTAGAGTCAATCAAATGAGTTATCTTTGATCGCTCTAGCCAGTAATCTGTGCAGTTGTGCATAAATGTGTGGATTGTTTTGAAATACATGCATTTGTGCAACATTTGCACATATTTAAGTTTTAATGTTTCCTTATTTTACACAAAATTTGTCAATACAGCATATTTATAGAATGTGGTAACTATAAGATTTTGATTAAATTGACTACGTCACGAATTTTCCACGGTAAAATTTGTAAAAAAAAATTCCTATTTTTTACATTAAAAGTAAGAACTAACGTTACTAAATATATCCTCAAGCTCTCACCTGATAAAAATGTTTTTACGTTGGTTAAATTTGCAAAAATCTAGACGATTTGGTAATTTCTGTTGTCTAGCACTATTCCCCCAGTACTGTGTTCAGATACTGGCGTCTCTCTGTTTTTCACCTGCAAATTAGGGCATATAAAGAAGGTATATAAGCATGAAAAGTAAACAGAAACACTAATTGTATTTTCATACATTTTATTTTGTACAAATAACACACAAATATACTACTCGATCACTTTAAGGTGAAGTAAGTGTTTAGTATCATGAGTAAGGGAATTTTTGTGACACCTTTCACTTTACTGATTTATTTGGTGACTACTTTGTGAAATTTAGTTAGCTCTTTAGTATTATGTATCTTCTATGTATTAGCTCTTTAGTAAGGATGGTTATTTTACACAAATTATTAAACAAATTCAACTGCAAATAAAAGTTGTATGAATTTATTCAAAAAGCTCATTCTAAAAAGCTCATGTTTTTTTGGCTGCAAATATTATTAGAAAATTTGATGTTGATGTGCAACACTGCTAAATATTTTTGAAGTACTTCTCTGCCTGCTTTACACCAAGTTACAGTTCTAGCTGGTATACTGGATTTAGTGCAACGATTCGTGTAATAAAAACTGCATTAGATTTGACATTATGTCAGAGTAATGATTATGTTAGAGACACCCAACTGTGTATGTCACCGTGGAAGTTACTGCATTTGTACCAAAGCTATCATCTCCTTCAGTAACCATGTAGTTAATAGCAAATTACAGTTCTAGCTTGTACCCTGCTCTTATTGATAATTTGCAACCACTTGGCTTTCATTGGATGTAATTCATAACCGTGCATGATATGCTATATTCTTGTTTGTGTTGTAAGGAGTTGTGAATTAAAAATTATAACGTGATATTTGGAAAAGCTTTTTATTGTACTTACCAAAAAATTTCATAAAATCTTGTTTCTCATTTAGTAAAAATGTTAATACTGTGATTTTACTTCCCCCCCACCACTCCAATAATCTTAACACGCACAACAAGAGACAAGTTCACGTTGTAGAAAATAGTCCACTTATCATATGTGTAAATACGTGTAAAGAGTCTACTTATAGTAGAAAGCAGAGAGGTACGTAGAGGGGGTGGGGAGGTGGAGAGAGATTGGGTGAGATAGGAAGGGGAGAGGCCTGTGGGCTGAATCGTATACATGTGTGCACGTGTGCGTGTGTGAGAGCGTGAGAGAGGCTCAACAAGATCGTAAGGGGAGAACGGGATTGGGGGATTAAGACGAAATTCTGCCCCAACTACATATCAAAACCTAAAGCATCCAACTCACACACAATCACTTTATTATAGCTTATAAACAACGTATTGTAAACAAAACAAAATATCAGGCTTTTATACCACGAGTGGCGAGTGTATCTGCCACCACCACCGTCTCATATCTACCGATAAATTTGTGCTTCTGATTAGATATATAATGGATCAAAAGCTATCGGTTTACCACCTTAATCACACGGTTGTTAATGTGCATGTACCTCTATTCGATATAAACAGATTTATGTCAAATCGGATTAAAGACCATTTTAAGATTTCCACGTTGCCCTCACGCAGAGTGGCATTCTGATTCGCTATACGATAATATACATAATACGTAGATATTAATATTTTATACTTCTTAGATTACATACGACAATTAAAATTTTCTACCTCCTTTTATGCTGCAGCGACTATAATATTTGTACGGGGGGGGGATGACATAGACCTATGAATATGATCAATCGTGTACTTCGCTGTTCAACAACAGTGTTGGCATGAGCATAGCTCGCCTGCTAGGTTTGAAACGGTGCTGGACAATGGGTGAAAGTGCCAATGTGAAACCACAGTTGCATCTTAGTATCTATAGTTGCAGGTATGTCGCAGTATGAAGCAGTCCAGAAAGGTTGTCTCAAACTGAAGACTGACAGTGGAATCGGCAAGAAGAAAAAGAACAAGAAAAGGAAGAAACTAGAACAATCAATACAGGAAAAGGCTGGTAAGAACAATTCGACATTTTTGTATGTGTTAATATATATATACTATAGATCATGCAGGCCCCTCCCTACGTTGCGCAAACCGGGCGCGCCCGTCCCATTTGGGAAAACTCCCCCTGTTTCAATTGTTGCGCCACGTTTAAATTACCTCCGCCCCGATTAAATTCCACCCAGGGCTCGAATTAACCGACGGCACCGACGGGAATTGCCCCTATCAATCGCCGTACTGCCCCTAAAAATCCAACCCGACCGACGGCAGTGACCTGCCTTCCCCTTTTCTGTAATTGCCGTCGGTGCCTCGGGCTAGACTGGTTCGCGGCCGCACTGTTTGTCGCAGAGCGTGTACATTTTCTAGCAGAGCGTGAGGCCGGATACCAGTCTACCGGTCGGCAAAAACAATAACGTGGCTTGCTGCCAACCGCTGCCAGTAGACGATTGATAAATCGTGCGCCACTGCGCCTGTGTATGCCCGTGGTAGAACACAAATATTTAAATGCTGCACGTGGGCTCGGCCCGCGCGCGATTTAAAGCGCGGGAAACGACGCTCGCGCAAGAATGGCCAGCTGTGATCTGTACGGTGTGTAGCTTGCTAAGTGCAGTAAATTTAGAGAAATTTTGGGAAATTTTAGTAGAATTCATACGATGACACAAAGTTGTTATGAGTTTTTCTTTATTTTACAAAAGTGCCTTGGTGCCCTTCTCAAATTGCGAGAGTTGCCTTGATGCCTTTTAAAATTGCCTCGGTGCCCATCCATTTTAGAGAAAATTCAAAGCAATTTCTCACATGCCCCCAAAAAATTACCTTGCCCCTCTCGTTGCTTAATTTGAGGCCTGATTCCACCACCCGGATAGGAAATGTTATCGCCGAATTGAAATACACTATTTTCAGCGGAATTTCAGCGTGACAGTTCAAATTAAAAGTTTGACAGCGCGGGAATCGATCGTTTGTTGATACCGCCATTTTGCGAGCAGTAACAAAAGCACACTTGTGTGCTTCGCTGTGATTGGCTGGTCACCCTCACTGCTAAGCCAATCAGCAGAGAGCTCTTTTGAACAGTTGAAGTCGAGTCGTCTCGTGTCCCTAGTACCACAAATCGAACCTGAACAATCCGTATGGCTCTACATCGCCGACACAACCGTAAAACACATGAAATATGAATCGATCTATATACCACTTGCCCGAAAAAATTATAAGTTGCCTTCAAGTTTTCCCAAAGTTATCCCATATTCATAAACTCTAGTTTAAAAACAAAAAATAAAAAAATGACACACCAGATCAGAGAAAACAAATCAACTCATGTTCTCAAACATGTCCCAAAATTCCTCAGAATGTACCACAGAGCATCTAAGATCTCAAAATTTTCTGGGGGGCATGTCCCAGACCCCCCTAGTTATTGCTCGCTGCGCTCGCACGGTCCGTTCCCCTTTGTTTCAATTTCATCCTGGGGACAACCCTGAGATGGGCCTATTGTAACACAAGAATCCAAGATAGTGTCATTCGGGTTACACTGTGTTATTAACCACAATGCTCCAACCTTTCTGTCACCACTTAATCGTCGTCAGCAATCCCAAATGCTCTGTTAATGAAAACGACGTGTAAATTTAGTTTTTTTTTGTAGTAGAGGAAACCGAAGCTGCCCAAATGCTCTGTTAATGAAAACGACGTGTAAATTTAGTTTTTTTTTGTAGTAGAGGAAACCGAAGCTGCCCAAATGCTCTGTTAATGAAAACGACGTGTAAATTTAGTTTTTTTTTGTAGTAGAGGAAACCAAAGCTGCCCAAATGCTCTGTTAATGAAAACGACGTGTAAATTTAGTTTTTTTTTTTTTGTA